TATATACAAAGAACCATCAGCTGGTCCCAGATAATGTAAAGATATAAGCAAAACATCAATAATTGTCCAAACACCTAAGCCACCAAAACTGAACAACTTTCCGATTCCTTCCTGCCAGTGTCCTAAATAAAAACGATCCGCACCAAATCCACCTAATGTTAAGCTTATTATTAAAGCAGAACTCCAACGATAACCTTGAGTCCAATTGCATTTAATGTTGCGAGTAAATGAACGATTGCCTAAACACAATACATCAGAGTGCACTGTGCAATTCGTCCGATAATATTGGTTATTAACGGAATTGCAATTTCCGCGCATCACACACGCTTGTTGCCAAAGTTCAGTTTGATAGCAGTAACGGCAGTTCATTTGTCGTATAAACTGACGCTCTCCTAGGCACTGCACATGTTCAAACACTGAACATGTGACATTGAGATCACGTCCATAATGACAGGAATTATTGTATGCACATCGGATGCAAGGATAAGTTAGTGCTGAACATTCTGTATCACTTTCTCCTGGGCAGTAAACATTCGTGTCGTTCAAACTTTTAACAATTACGGGTGGAGTGTTTGTATTATTCTTTTCATAATTGTCCATATAATTAACTGCTGTTTGACTTTGTTTTATTCCGCTCAAAATAAATATTATTATAATAGCTAACGCTTGACGCACATTTATAACGATACAATTCCTACTATAGTTTGGCATTATTGTATTAATATAATAATGTTTGTTTTGAAAACAATTAATTCGTAAATATCTGACATTTCATTGTTGTACTAACGAAAAACTAGATAACGCAGTTTTATTATTGATGAAATTTTTCACATAATTGATTTTTCTAATTTATGGTTATTTATAACTTTATAGCAAGTAATTTTTTACAACATATTCACACTGCAAGCCATAAAGTTTGTTTCATATTGTGTGTCTAGTTTTGCTTGTTAACAAAAAGGTCGAACACTACAACAGTATTTTGTTTTGATTTCCAATGTTTGTAAGAATTATTCACAATATCTCTGTACACTTATACTATTGTGAATTACGAACTTAATATTATACAAATTAAAATTTAATCGTAATTTGAGATATTGAATTTTTCTATGAAATTAGATTACAACTTTAACTTGATTCTGTGACCAAACAAAAAAAATTACATTTAAAATCAAAATTACTTGTGTTGTGTGAATAGTTTTTACCTCACATCTTCCATAACTATAAGTAAGTAAATGATTCTGTCAACCCATGTTCATGCCATGTGGCGACTAGTTAACTCATGTCTTGCTATATATTCCTCTTCTATCATATATGACAATTGATAAAGTTCAAGACAATAAAAATTTATGTCATAAATAGTACTATAAATACATATGATACAATATTTGAAATAATTTTCTCAGTTGTTAATTTTTTGGGGATTTAGTTACATTTAAGTCAATTAGTAATGTTTGTAGGACATAATAAATATAATATCGTGATTAAAATTTTGTTAGATTCATATCAACTTGTGTAAGTTGTATATTTAAATAAGATACGTTTTGGCGGTATTTCAATTCTATTTCAATTCCGTTTCGTTTCAGCATTAATTTTGGTAGTTGTGTAAGAAGTTACGTTAGAGTGTTTGGTTTTTTTCAATTCAATGAAGTGGGTAGAATTGTGTCTTCGAAATGGTTATTGTGGATGTGGAATATTGGTAAACAATCCATATATATCAATAAGTTTAAATAGTTATTTATTCAAATGTCTTAATTAGTGGAAAATGTAATTTTGAATGGCAGTGTAAAATGCTGCAAAACTTCCTAATTGAAAAGCAGCCGGGCACTGAAGTTATTTGCCACAAAGGTAGACAAGGCTCATTTGAAGTTAAAATTAATGATCAGTTGGTGCATTCAAAACTTACAACATTGGCATTTCCTGATCATGAAAGTGTATTAGAAAATGTACAAAAGGCGCAAGAAGGACTGCCACTTAGTAAAATTAAAGAGCAACCAATAGAAAATTGCTGCATATTATAGGATATCACTGTTTATTTATTTGCTTATAAATAATTCTTGACTACAAAACTAATATATTTCTATAAGTACTAATGTACTCTATATATACATTTTATACATTTAAATTTTTAACTATTTTTAAGTATTTTGTATAACAATTTTGTATTTTAAATAATAATAAAACACTATGATTAACAATTTATTTTCAGAATACTAGTCATTTTTGTACTTGACTGTCAGCGTATCTTTACATGATATAAGTACTTCATTTTTAAAAGTATTCTTTAAAGACATATATATACCAAATCGTATTTTACCGTTAAATACGCGCGCAATGGTTCGTAATGGTTCATTTGTTTTTTGTCCAGTCTGTTGGTCGATGCAGATCATTTGACAACGTGTACAAAAACCATCCACCTTAAATATGGTGTCATTTATGCAAAGCTCTTTAAAATTATTCTCTTCCAAAGGTTTGGAAGTCTCAATGATTAGGTTTGCTCTAAAACGACCTAGCGTATTGTCGAGCAATTCTTTTTCTGTTTCAACCTTGTTAGCTAACCAACAAACGGAAGCACGATTAATAAGTAAAAACTGTGCTTGATTTGCTAATGCTATATCTCTGACCGTACCATCTTGATTGCGGCGTTCGGTATTTTGTTTTATTAAGCGCAAACCATCCATTTCCAAGCAATCAGATAACCAATGTGCTACTTCATCTCCACAATCGATCCCTTTTATTATATCATTACATACTTTACTCTGACAAATACTAGTTTCCAAAATCTTTGCATCTTCATTTATTTCAAGTGGTACATCAATACACTTCATATTCGGAAATGATATGGTGAGGTAACCTTTTTTAAGATCAATTTCTGGTTTTATGAGACACAATCGTGTATTGTGTTTTTGAGTAATCGCCATGCCATTGTTATCAACGATCATCCAATTGCGATCATATTTAAAACCAGTATTAGTGAGCTGCCACTCTAATACATCATATGAACCACAGGACTTAATTGGATATATACAAATTTTTTTCAAATGTGCGCGTAAACGTTGTGGAATGTGTTGCAATGCACTTGGCAAAGTTGAATTTTCCAATATGCTTAAACGTTGGACTGTAGAGGTGAGGTAGCAATCACGTATTATTTGAATTGCTTTGCTAACATCTTCTTTCGTTGTCATATAACCAAAAGACATTCGAACTGCTCCAGTAGGTACACCATCGACTAAATCATTATAATCACTGCAAATGTGTCCAGACTCGAATTGTTTAAGTATGTCGTTGTCAGATAGGTTTAAGAATACTTGACATGCTCCTGGATTACAAAAGCACCCAGTTCTCATTTGTATATTATGTACTGCTACAATACAAGCTACTTCCGCAAATCCCACATACGAACCATCGTCATGTAAAATATTAAATGTTACAAGGCCACCTTGCACCTTCACACTTTCATAGTTTGTGTGATTGTAAAATTTAACAAGAGGGGAACCATTTGCATGTTGCAATTGACCAAGGAAATCATGACAATATTTTGCTAATTGAAAAACATGTGCAGCAATACGTTCCCCTGTAGTTTTAGTTATCGTTGGTGGTATTAAGCGATACAGTGTACGAAATCCTTCCAGCAAGGAGGCAATAGTTAAAAATGGTAATGTGCCGTCCTCGAAACGTTCTGTAAAACCATCACGTTTTTCGTGAAAGTTTTGTCTTGTCATAGCTATTTTTACAGTACCACCGCCATAGTATACTTTATTTAAAACATTTTGTCCTCGTTTACTGACCAATAATGCTCCAACGCCAGTTGGATATCTATTGAAAAATAATTATAATAAAGAATTTTCTTTTGCTTACTAAGCTTACCCAAACATTTTATAAAATGATAAACAACAGAAATCCGGCTTAAATTTTCCTAAATCCAGGTAATTTGAAGCAGCATACGATGCAGTATCCAGACAAACAAAGAAATTACTTTCATCGTCCGTTGGAGTATATTCAATGCCGCTTATTTGCTTTGGTTGCACTGCTAATCCTTTCTTTTGTATAACATCAATTACTTCCAGTGGCATTTTATATCCACTAAAGTTACACTGAGCAGAAAACGCAACTAACGAATTGTGATCTTGTGATTTAGCTGTAATAGGGGCTTCTAGTTCGCTTTCAGAAGTATTTATTTTCAGATTTTTTACTAGTTCATCTTTTGTCAAGACAAATAGCTTATCAGTTTTTATAACTTCCCGCATACCAAGCACGGATGTATGATTTTCTTGGCAATAGTAAAAGGCACCGGCAGGACGTCCATCTTTTTGACCAAAATCAAATGTTTCAGCAACCAGCTTCAGGGCAGCCGTTGCATTAGCAGTAAAAATAACATTATATTCAGTAGCGTCAGTATTAAAATGGTTTAAAATTCTAATAAAAACATATTTTTCTTTTAATAACAATAAAGAATTTAAATTGATTTTCATACCTGTAACGCACTTGATCCACTAAATCTCCAGTTATTTTGCAAGTATGTGGATTGCAAAATAGATTTTTCTTTAATACTTGCGCAGCGTCATCGATCTGTTTTTCAGAATATAGCGTTGTGCCAGCGTGGTCAAGGTATATGTTATCTATAAAAAATAAACAATAATAGTGTATAATTATCAAAAAAAAAAAAATACAATGGGTTGTGTGCTTATACAAAAAGCACATGAGCACTTGTGTTTAATAGCTTTAATCACGAAATAGTTAACATAATGACTAGTTAAAAATTTGCAAAAGATAGATCGCAAAAGTGATATATATGAGGATTTCGTAGATAAGACTATACCTCCAACTCGTAAAAATTCCTTTGCTATACTTTCTGATTCAGCTTCAGTAAATTCTTCCTCGAATTTTGTCATTTCAAATTAATTTGTCTCAACTTTATTTAATTATCAGTATTTCAAAACAATTAAAGGTAATAAAACCTATCGGCATTCAATCTACATCTACGTCTACCGCTTAATGAAGTAATACTGCCATTGAACCAAATAAACAATTTGTTTGAACGGAAAGTTGAATTTGAATGAAAGCAACAAATGGTTGAACGTAGTTGCTTCACTAGATGGAGCATTTATTGTTATTCAGTATATTTTCAATATTTTTATTGCTTTTATTAAAGGATTTTTTAAATACAAATACTGAATTATGCTAAAAAAAAATTTTATGAGTATTAGTATTTTTATAAATTAATTTAAATATATTAAATAAATATTTTATTGGGAAGAAATTTATATTGTTATTTTGTGCATCACATGCTCTTTCGTCATAGCCCAAAAGAGTCAATTTTGTCAAGTCCATCACACTCTACATAACATGGCCCAAAGGGGATTGCCACTGTCAGTGTCAAATTTCAAATTGGAATTTCAAGCAACAACAATTCATGGCTGCGACTGTAATAACAGACCCATAAACAAAAAAGTAACGAAAAGAAACTGAGAGTTGCTCGCAAAATTGTGTATAAAATCTTCTGGATAATTCAAATAATATTCAAAATTTTGAGTAATGAGGTGAAAATATCACGCAGTACAAAAACAAAAATCCTAACGCTTCACAATGGTGCGTGATGATTTACTCCATTTGGTCTTGCTATTTTGCCCACCCGGTTCCTACTCACCACGATGTTTACTGAAATAAGAGCACTTTCCGAGAAATTTTGTTGTTTGTTTTGATTTTTTGACGTTAAAAATCCGTCAAAAATTCAAATTTTCTTCTCAGTTTCTTTTCTTTGTGTTCTATGGCCCTAACAGACTGCTAAAAAGTATTACTAAAGCGATAAACTATCAATTTTAAGTTTTTATTGGAAATTTCAATGAATTTTCTAATGATTTATTTGAAGCTGTGTGTAAACAAATATTTAACCAAGTTAAAAAGTTTCACAAATTAGAAAATCTTAAAACCGAAATATTTTGAAAATAAACAAAAATTATAGAAAATAAATATTTTAAAAATAAATTAAAATTTTTAAGAATACATGAAGAAATTGTAAGCAGGGTTCGTATTTGCTCATTCATGAGCAGCTCAGGCTCGAGCAAGAGCCAATTCTTATGTGAGCCCAAAATTGGCTCATAAGCGTGAATTATGTTCAATAAAGACACAAAATTTAAATTATATGTTCCTTTATTGAAGTGAATCTTAAGACTAAATTAAAAATATTTCTTAAACAATATCTTAAGTCTAGAAACATAATCAAATTCAGTTAACCCTGAAATGCAAAATATCTAACTCAGCAGATTTTTGCACCTGGGTACCGAATTTGATGCTTGCTGTCTTTGCAATAGCATTACCTAGATAACGCTATAGTAGACAGCTTAATATTTATATCAACATGCATATTCGCGTTAATACGATATTTATGAAAATATGCATGTCTATACAAACATAAATAAAATGCATACTAAGGTATGCAAGAGGTATGAGAATGTAACTCCTCCACCCCTTGATTCGAGATTCTCCTGGATCTCGTTACTCCGTTAAATATTTTTTCTTAATTTCATCTACATTAA